GGGGGGGGGGGGGGGTTTGGTCCTGAGCTCCTCGGTTCGCCTCCAGCGTTTATTACTGACATTTATTCTTTTTTTTTCTGTTCAATTGGGAGAGCTGTGAATGGTGAGAGCGTGGAGAAAACGTTTGGACTGATTGGGATCCTGATTGATGTCAAAAAGGGGTTTGGGTGGAGGTGGGAGGGGGGTCCATGTGACCAGAAGCGCCTAAAAATGGTATCAAATGTCACACTTTATGATTTGGTGTATGTATATATAAATATATTTGTGTGTTTATATTCAGTATAGAACAAACACATGTGATCCGCACACCATGTGTGAAACATGCCCGTGTGCTTCGGTTCAAACAAACTCGTCAGCTGTGGTTTGCTGTACACTGGAGGAATAAAAAAAGATGTACTATTCCATTTTTCCCATGAATTTAATCAGTAACAAACGTTTTAAAGGAATAAATATTTGACACATAACAGCTGATCTCGTCTGTCAGTGATCTGAGGCTCATTTTTCAATCTGTGTCTATTTTTTTATTGTGAATAAAGCTGTATGGGGGAAGGTGTGAGCTGGTTTTTGGAGAACTTTAAGCCTGTTTAAGTGGGACAGAACGTTCCCACCTATCCACAGATCTGAGAATATTTGGTTATAGAGCGATAATCCCTCTTAAAACATGCTATGGAACCACTAGTGTAGTACAAAGTGTATTATACTTGTAATAAATAATAGAAAAGCAGAATTTGAATTTTATTGTGCTTTTTTTTTGCACTAAAGCAGAAAACCTTAAAAAGTACAAATACTTGCTTTTATGAATGTTTATGTCCATTTTTACATGTTGATTAGTAAAAGTTTAATAGAAATACAGTAAAATAGTGTAAAAACACATCCTATTTATCAAAAGCATGAACCATCGCTCATTTATTTATAAAAATAAACTGGTAATGGTTGTTTCCCAACATGATTTAATGGGAAACAAGAGGTTTAACTTTGAAATCCTAATGAGCTGAAAATGGTGAAAGACTGACTGAACATGAACAGAAAAATAACACAAATCTACAAAATAACAGGCAAAATTATACCGGAAATGGAAGAAAAAAAGTTTGTGCACTTGTTTTTGTGTGTTTATGGAAATCATTTCAGTCTTTGTTTTTCTGTATATCCTTGGGAGTCAGAAACCAGTTGGGGAGACAAATAAAGGCTAGTTATTTCGGTCCCGTCGCCCAATTGAACATTTCTCCCTCGCGCTGCTGTTTTTCCTCCAAAGCTGGAAGCTTATCAGCAGCTCTATTCAAACCGGCCCTGAGACCCACACACAGAAAACAACCGTTCATCCAGTCCAAGTCAGGAGAGACCAGAGAATCGTAAAGTCTTTATTTGTACAAAAAAATACTAAGAAAATTGCATGATAAATAATTTGAATAGTTTGAAGCATTTTGCAACTGAAACAGTGCTGTTAGTCACCGGGAGCACAATGACACCATCGAAAGCACTGAATTCCAAAACGGCATCCGTCCATAGAGAGACGGCTGACAAAAAAGTGGCTAAATGGCATCTGTGTGCGTCAGCCGCTGCAACACAAACTGCATCTGGATGCGCACACCACCACAGAGAAGCACAACACATGCCTTCAGTTGGAAAATGAATCAGTCTACAGTGTCAGAACAAAAGTCAGACCAACAAGAAACAGAGAGAGAAATTGCAGTTGTGTCATCAGAACACAAAAATGAAATTATTTTCTTTCTAACTAAAGAGACATGAAAGGAGACAAATGATAAATTTCTGGGGGTTCTTTATCAGAGAAATCTATTTCTCACCTGGATGGGAGTTCCATTTCTATATGTTTACAACCTGCTTTCAAACTAGTTTCTGTTTGAGGGGGAAGACCATGAGCTAAACTAACTTTTGTGTCTGATGGTGTATTCTTTAGAAAACACTTTCTGATACGGCACCCTTTAAATGGCTTTATTAATGTGGAGTTAACCCTGAAATCACCTGCTTTCTCATTGGGCTGCTCTTATGACACATTCGTGAAGGTTTTCTTTCTGTTGGATGCTGTGCACATTTTTGGAGAAATGATTTTTGTTATTATGTTGTTATTTCTCTTTTTGGCGTAAAATATTTAAATGTATAAACCTGAATTGTTTTTATATGTTGTTTATATATTCTGGTTTTCTTCCTTTGTATAAAAACTCACATTAACAATGATCAATTAGGTTGGACAAATAATCTATTTTGAAGATAAAAACATTAGAAACCAAATATTTTTAATTTGTGCCTAAGAAAATTTGGGTTATATTCTGATGGATATTGACTTTTGGATAAATCCCAGTCAGTTTCAAATCTGATGGAAGTTCAACAGTTAGCTAATTTAGCTTAGCACAAAAACCGGTGAAATACCTAGCTTCATGCTAACTGTATTAATGTTGAACACATATAGTTATATACATAAGTAGTCTAATGGTCCAAAAGTTTTTAGATGAAAAAAACAAACAGAACAAGAAATGGGCTTTGTTGGGGATACATTTTTTAAAGTTAATGAACAATGTTATGTTATCGTTTATGCCGTTAATCTAAGATAAACTGCTGCTGGTTGTATAAAGAGCTCATATAGGATTATATTTGAAAGATTATATCAATTTTCCAATTAAAAGCATAGCCAGAAGGCAAATAAGCACAATTTCTAAGCACAATCTCCAACACAGGCAGCGCTTTTTTTACTACTTGTTTCTTGTTAAGATTGCACAAAGTTTAGGAATCATTAGCCCTAATTAGCAACACAACATATGATTTTATATTGTGTTGATTGAACATATAATGTATGATAGGTGACTTATCAGAAAGTGCAACTTATAACTGTCAACTGGACTAAAATATATGCAAATCTACCATAAAAGAACTCCCAAACCAATAATTAACTTAACAAGCTTCAAGGGGTGCAGTAAATACTTTATAAATGAGTTTGCTTAACAGAATATCTCCCTCTGGTAAACTAAATATCATCCAGACCAGAAAAATAACAGGAAAAAAATTCATACATTTATACAAACAATAATAATAACGTCTAATCTCTCCTCATTTATAGGACACACATGATAACCGACCCTACAACTGACATTGCCGGTAAATTTCTTTCTATAAAAAGATTTTCATTCAAAATGTATGTTTCTCTTTTTTTCATTACAAATATATCAATTTCATCCAAACCTATTATTTCATTTTTTATAAAAAATCATTCTTTGGGTTGATCCTTCCCAACAACCAGCTGAGATGAGATGAAAACATCTGCATAGGTTTGCACAGCTGCAGCGGACACCAGTTCAAACGCGGACAGACATTAATGTGCCACACTGAAAAAAACGCTCAAACGTCTGAGCTCAAGACATACTGACGTACCAACGAAATCACAGATATATCACCAAGGATGGAAGCCCGCCTGCTAAGTAATCAAAGTGCCCATGAAGTATTGAAGAAATGAGAATGGAGGTAGACCTTTTCCATCGGGAGTGAATGCAAAGCAGATGTTAACCACTGGGAGGGAAGTCAGGTGGAGTGTCTGCACACCCACATGCCTCTGAACGTGAAATTCAAGTGGTTAACCTTTAATCGCCAAGCATTCGACATAGTTCTGCCTCCTTCTCAAGCCGATGTAAACGTTTTGTGGAAATTTGGTTGACTAGGAAGATGACTGACATCACAGAGACAATTTTGGACAGTGCCTTTTTTTTTTCCCCTCCCCCAAAAAACAAACCAACAGCTATAATGTGGACTGTAGAATAAAAAAAACAAAGATACCAACTGCACAGACAGCCACCCAAAGGTTTATTCAGCAGTCAGACATGAACACGAAGGCCACTTAAAACCTGCTGGTTTCAGTACTTTCTTATAATTTGAGGCTCCAATTGTCTATTTACATAATGACCCAAATGATGTCATCATGGTTATCTAAACTGCTCTGGAAACCTCGATTTTAGAAGAAAGAAGAAAAGGTCATCTGTACCTCTGGAGTACAGAAACACCATGAGATGTGTATATTTGAGCTATTTTTAATATTCAAAGTTAGTTTGCGGCAGAAACTAGCTAAAATACCAAGGAGGACTCCACAGTGGGGAGATGGGGGGTTAATTGTTGGTTCCATCATATTCATAAAAATATCAATAAGTGCATATCTAAAATGTCTCTTGCATGTTTTACTGGAACAGCACACGCTCGACCAGTAACTGTTCATCCCTTTTTTATCCTTTTTTATGGCCCTGATAGGTTAAGCTGTTGCCTCGTGTTCTCCTGAACAGATGAATAAACCTGAGAGATCACATGAGCTGAGGATGGTCGGCGTCCCTCCTGTCCCAAGTCTTTTCCCCAGACTCTTTGGCCCGACAACTGTGATGCATACAGTAACTGTACATTGTATCCCATCTCTACAGAGTTGGCAGTGGGTTTGTAGAGACGAGGTTTAGGCACTGCAAGGAAACCTTCCTCTGTGGAGGTAAACTTTGTGACCCTGTCATGTTCCAAAAGACCAAAAGCGCACCGGGGGGGGGGGGGCTGAAGCCAAAGCCTCTGGGGAAGTCCTGCCTGCTCGTTCCGTTCTTTGTCATCAGCCACCAGTGAATCGATAAAGTGCAAAATGACCCTCATCCAGAGCCGGCCCGACGCTCCACGGCGCCCAAAGCAAAACCTGATTTAGGGACCCTTCGTTTCTGCAAACAACACTGATGATTGATCATTCAAGAAAACAATACCAAGTTCTAACCTGGAAGATATGCGCAACACTGGATTTTAATACTTGTTCAAATCAGCAACCTCACTCTTTCCATCGTGTTTCGATCCATTTGTTGTTTTCAGTCTGAAATGGGGGCTCATGCTGCTCCTGGAGCAGCTTTGGACTGATTTACATTTAACATTTCAGCTGATTAAGCACTAAGAGGAAAGCTGAGTCACATCCGGTTCTGCTAAAAGTTACAGGAAAAACCAAGACACCAGGTATTTACTACTGACGCCTCTTCTGATTTGTTATTTTTGTTTTAATAAAATGCAACGAAAATGTGCATTTGTGGTGCAAGAAGAGCAATATGGAAGTAAGAGGAGGGTCTGTCTGCCTGAAGAAACTCTTTCTCTATGAAAAGGTTTTTTTTTCTAAGATCATAAACCTTTGATAAGGAAATAGGATAAAATAAATATTGATTTTCTTGACCCTCCTGCTGCCTTTGGGCCAGTTTGATCCATTTCTTAGGCTGATATGTCATAAACTTGGCTTTCTTCCCTGTAACTACCTGAAAATTAAACGGATGGTTTTCCATCTACCCGTTAGCCTCTGGTATGAACCAGAGTGAAAAGAATTCACAATATCTGCTTTTTTTCTCCCTCGAAAATGGGGACTAATTTTCAGTAAATGAGCCCTATTACAACTGATGTTACAGAAATAAGTAAAACTCGAGTTAATGTGTTAGATAAAAAGGAGTAACTGAAAAAAGGTGGTGTATTTTTGATACTTTTTGTTTTGAATAGTGGTCAAACGGACCTGGGAGGACGGAAGGTGGGGAATAGGGGGAGGATATGGGCTGCTGGGGTCCCTAAGAGGCTGCTGAGGCCCGCTCAGGCCTCGGGCCGGCTCGGCCCTCGCCTTACAGTGGCCAGCAGTGGTCAGCAGTGGCCGCTCTTTGGCTGTGCTGCTGCCCCTGTGCTCCCGCCCTCTCGTCCCTCCGGGTGTGTCTGCTGCGCTCGGCGCCCGTTCGGCGGCGGGGCTCAGTTCTTTTTGAAAAAAGAGAAAAGCCTCTTGTCCCGGTCGGAGACGCGGTGCGCTCGCCTGGAGGACTGACTTTTCGACGAACCGGCCGACAGGGAGGAGTGGCCGGAGCACCACTCGTCCTGGTGCTTGTCCATCAGCTGCTGGTCAATCACTCTGTGCATGTCGTCCTAAAGCAGACGGCAAAGTGAATGACAGGAAGAGCAGAGAGGCAGCAGGGAGGCAGGACGCTGGTCAACCCGTCTACAGAGGGAAATCTAACTCCTCTAGGTTAGAAAGCAACTAATTCCTTTCTCTGGATGGTCCAAACAGTTAAAATATCACCTGCTGCTCTGAATTCTGTTCAAAATCTGGAGGACAGTTGGTGAAAATCACCATAAAGTTGAGCAGAAGTGTGCTCCTGATCATGATTGTTTTGCATCTTTAAAACAAGCAGTATTATTTAATTTGTCTGGATGAGAGTTGGTGCAGATTCATCCAGCTGGTGGCGATTATTTTTCTGTCTGAGTCCCCTGACCAATGAGAGCAGGTCATTCTCACCTGTAGACTGCACACAAACCAGTACCCACATCATCCACCAGAGCTCAAACCACTTTATCCCGGGGCTGAGAAAGCACCACCTAATGCTGAAGGGGAGCAGAGAGCCAGTGGTCATTCCAGCTGGGCTTTAATCAGATCAGCTGAAACATCTGGACCCAACAACTGTGTCCAGGAAGTGAAGAAAAACAGCAGGAATGATGATCTGGTGCCGATGTGGGATTGTCTTCAAACACTTTAAAGCTGAGAACACCTTCAGGCAGAGGCTGCTCCACCCAAAAAACACCAAACACAAATTCCAGCATCGCCCCTCCTCCTAAGGGGTCTCAGCCACTCACAGCTGGGATCCTCTGAGCAAAGGTCTGATTGGTCAGGGGGTTCAGACGGTAACCTCCCACTCTGGTATAAGCTGCCTTTAAAACAGACTGAAGGGACTCTTATTTATTTTCATCTGTGATTATCTTTGCTGTACAGATACAACCAACTATCATATCTTTGATCCTCTGGAGGGGAGACATTTCGTTAAAACCATCTAAAACTAACAGAAGAGCCACGTTGACAGCATCTGACGGGTTTAAACCACCAGAGGGCTCCGACAAGCTGAGGCCGAAAACAACCGAAGGAAAAAAAAAAAAGATAAAAAAGCAGAGTTCACTTCACTGTCTTTTCTGTCAACAGATAAACTGACCAGCGGACCAGTCCCCCCAATAAAAGTAACAAAGGAGCATGTGGAGAGAGAGGGGGGGTCAGGGGGAGAGTTTTGATGGTTGACGGACAGAAACGAGAGCCGGGATGAGCATATCTCACGAGCTAGTTTAGCACAGCATGGAATGACTCAGCACGGCATGGTGGGGTTAGAGGGGAGAGAGGTGAGGGGGACGGGCAGCTCAGGGCTCACCTCTAAGGCAGGAGGGGGGGTACCACAGGGGAGAGAGGGTGGTACTGAAGCTGAGAAAGGCCACTAGATCAGAAACCACAAGAGCCAAACAGTAAAGAGCCCTGAGGAGGCAAACTGTGGGCAGGGAGACGAGAGAGGAAAGAGCTGCTTGTTACAGATTAGGGAGGGGATGGAGGGAGCACACATCCTCACAGGTATGTTACAGCTAGCTCCGATAGTTAGTCTTTAGTTGTATTTTTGGGCTAAAATCACTTCATTCAGGGCTGTCTGAGCCACTCTGGGCTGCTGTGACCGCTTTGGCTCACCTGCCAGGCCTCCAGCTGCTGCGACAGGTTGAGCTTCTGCTGGATGGCGTCCAGCAGCTGGCTGTTCAGGGACATTATGTCTATTTTACATTTCGCCAGCTCCATTTCCACCGCTTTCTTCCTGCAAAGACACACGGATAGCTCCGTCAGCCCGCAGAGATGCTCCATTAACGACACAGAAAATCCTGTTTAGGATAGCAAATGTAAAGAAATATGACGGGGTTTGAGAAAACAAGCCGGATATTGCTGCTTCTTGTTAAATTAGTGGTACAAACAAACTCATTTTAAGTCAAAAGCTGGGCAGAGGTGACAGAAAGCCGAGATATAAAACATGTTTAGCCATAATTTGTTTGATGCTGAGCAACATGGCCCAGTCTAATAAGAGGAAACCTGAATGTATTGTATATAAAGATGAGGGGAAATTAGGTGAAAGAGATAAATAAAGTAACAGTTTTTTTCCCAACCGAGAAAAAAATCAAAATGGTAATTTTTGGGAATATCCTTGGGTCCTTAAACAAAGCTCATTGCCCAGTTTGCCGATTTTTAAAACAACTTAAGATACCACTCAAGCTTTTATTCAATCCCATCCTTATCAGGCCTTCTACATCTTTAAAAAACATTTTACCACTCTACATTAAAATATATCAACCTGCACCACTTCCTCATGTGAGGTGGTCCAGGGCGGGAACTAATGGGTTATTTCAAAGAGATTGTGTCATAAATGGATCAACTTTTTTTTTTTTATCCTTATCCTATTTGGTTTAAATTATCCTAAATGTGTGATATAATATAATTCAGGAGGCTGGAAAATTGTCCTTGTTCTCAGTAAAAATGCAGCCATGGAAAAGATACTGAACAAAAAGTAGGTGTCTGATCAGTTTTTTGGTATTCATGGACATTTTGGCTCAATATTTGCTTCTCTCTTCCAAAATGTGTCTTGAACTAATTATTTGTTTCCATATTTCTTATGAGTCACTTAATTAGATTGAAGAAGAAATCATAGTTTACAAACATATTGTAAGCTGCGACAGCATTTTGACAGCATTTTGCACAGCCACATCTAAAATCAACGGTGAAAATGGGCCTCTTTGCTCTCGTTCATCTCTGCTCACACTGGGGAACCTTAAGGCAGTCCTACTTGGCTATGGCGTCGTCTCGGTCTCTGATGGCGCTCTGAAGCTGCTCGCTGGGTTCTCGGACTTCGGCCATGGCCCTCATGCGCTCGTTGTCCTCCCGGAGAGAGCACATCTCCACAGAGAGCAGCACCACCTGTAGGTCACGGGAGGGAAGCCGGTCGGTGAAGACGACGTCTGGAAGACGGGACGAGGGGGCGAGCGGCCTGCAAACCCGTACCTGGTTATGCAGCTGCAGCAGCTCCTCCTCGCTGCGGCGCGCTTTGTCTTGCGCAGCCTCGTACAGATCTCTCACCTCCCGCAGCTCTTCTCCCAGCTTCCTCGCCTGCTCCTCCAAAGCCTCCTCGTCGCTGCGCCGCGAGCCCTTTAGGGTCAAACACACTCCGCTCAGGACACACCTTCAGGAGCGTTGGAGCCACATTGAGAGCATTTTGTGATCTTAAAACTGTGTTTCTGGCTCATTTTCTTAACTTCTGTGTTTATGAAGGATCCAAATCTGGTTCCGAATGCCGCTGTGCTTCAGGTTTTTAGCTTCCCTGCTTTGACACACCTGATTTCCATCAACGCTCCAATTGCAGGGCAGCGTGAAGCTTTACAAACTTTAAAAACAATTAGAATCAGATGTGTTGAAGCAGGAAAACATCTAACACCGACAGGGCAGCAGATGCCAAGGCCTGGGGGGGTGGGGGGGAGTAAGTATTTAATCTGATTTGTGTGCTCCTTCATGGATGTTTACTCTGGGGGTCATTTTCAACTGACTGATAATAAGAAAAAACAACAACTTTAAAACAGGAGTGCCCAAAGTCGGTCCTCTTTTAGCCACTGTCCTGCAGGTTTTAGAGGTTTCTCCACTTCTACACACTTGATTCAAGCCTGCATGGCCCTTTCAGACTTGTGCAGAGCTTTTGAACTCATCCACTGCACCTCACTCTGGTGTGTTGGAGCAGGAAGCAGCAAAATGTCTAAAACCTGCCGGACAGCAGCCCAAAGAGGACACCTCTGCTTTAAAACTATAAACTAATCTGAACTAAATGCGTGCTTCCTGTAAATTGGCAGTTAATATTCGACCCCTGACATTTAGTAAAGAGCTGAACAGGCTCGGTCCAGCTGTCCGTTACCGTAGACTCGTTTCCGTCCAGCAGGTTCTGGGTCAGCCGCCGCAGCTCCAGCAGGCTGGTGTGGAGGCTCCCCGTGGGCACGTCTTTGATGGAGGACGTCTCCGAGGACTCGTCCATGGAGGAGTCGGTGGACAGCGCCGAGTCGGTGACGTCGTTGCCTCGGAGGTGCGAGCAGAGCGAGCGGACCTCGCAGTAGGCCTCCCACAGCTGGAGCCGCAGCTGCAGGTTCAGGTAGAGGGACACGGCCTCGGTTACGGGGGCTCCACCCTCCTGGTGGACGTGTGGACGGGCAGGAGGCACCTGTTCCCTCTCCTGCTCCTGCTCCTCCTGCTCCATGCACTGCTCTATCTCGCACAGCAGGCTGGACGGGTGCGGGGTGAGAGTCTGCAGGCTGTGCTCCTCCGTCAGCTCCGTCAGCCGGGCGGTCAGCTGCCTGTGGGACACCTGGACCTCCTGGAGCTCCAGCTGGCTCTGCCGCAGCTGGACGAAATAGCAGAGTCAGAGCCGGGCCTCGGTGTGTCTGAAAGCCTGAGAGGAGTCGTATGCGTGCGTGTGTGTGTACCTGTAGGTCCTTCTCGTGGCTCTGTTTCTCCAGCACCAGCGTCCTCTCTCGGAGGTCCTCCACCGTGCTCTGCAGCAGCTGGTTCTCCTCCAGGACAGCGTGCACACGGCGCTCCAGCTCCATCTTCCTCTCCGACAGCATTTTAATCTAGAACACGGGGAGAGAGGGCGGTGGGGGGTGAGAACAGCGCTTTAAATGGAGGAGCTCCACTGCTTCAGATTCCACCCGCTAAATTTGGTTGTTTTCCCGACTCTGAAGCAAGCAGGGCTCTTGCAGAAGATTAAAAAGCACTCCCACTGCTCTGAAGAATGCCTGCTGCCCAGCTCAGCTGTAGGCGTCAGTTGCCACCCTCGTCCTCAGGAATGTGACTCCACACAAATCTTGATGCGAGGCTGCTCATTACCCTGCCGGCGCCGCGGCCTTCCTCTTAAACAACAAACTCTCATCTCTTCCGCCCTCCTGAGCAGCTCTCCCACTACACAAACACTCTGCGCCTGACCCACATCTGGTAACCTGATTCGGCATCGTGGCTCTCAGAAGTGGATCGCTGCTTGTCTCTAGCCCCTGCCAGAATTTTAGGGTACCGCTGTAAGTCTCTGCTTTCACACAAACAGACCGGGAAGCCATTAGTCATAGGCACATGTCATAGGAAGGCAAAGCGCTGGGAAAGTGGGGGCACTCAGACGATGCAGTGATTCGGCTAAAAATAGAGCAGTAGCCTTTTATTCCAATTATAGCGCCGGCTCTGCAGTCTGGGTGTTTCCTCCCCGCTTTGAGGAAGAAGCAGCGGCAGCATCAGAGCTCATGCACGACCAAACGGACACCACAGCACATCATCATGCTCTTTTAACACCACACGTCTCTCATTACTCTCCTCGGGAAACAGGGATTGGAGCATAGAAAATGTCTTCATTTTTTAAACATTAAGCCAGGTGGGTGTTTTGGGAAATTCTAAGATATCGGAGGTCAAACTTTGAGGCAGTTTTACAATCTGCACATTAAGAAAAAGATTATTTCCCCGCATTGTTAAAGAGAAACCTGTAAATTTCAGAGAAAATGCTGCAGCAGAGCAATCCTTGTTTCTTTTGTTTTACAGCATGCAGCATGCAGGCATGGAGGCACTCACTTCTAGCCCTTGCTGCTCCAGCCGAGAGGAATGGAGGGTGAGGGAGGGAGAAAGGGGGGATGAAGAGACGGGTAGAAGAAGATAAAGAGTGAAAACTGAGCCCTGAAAAAGAGGATTCTTTCACTTCTCATTATAAGAAACCTTTAAGTGAGAAACAGAGATCTTTTTTTTAAAATAAAAACCATTGTGGTTATTACCCAAAACATAATGAAGGGCTGCTCTTTAAACGCCTCAGTGGGTGACCAGAGTGAGGGTGTGTGGATTATGACACCACGACATGACTGAAACAAAACGCTTTCTGAGGTCTGCTCTGACTCCTCTGAGAGTTTCAGCTGCAGACTTCAGGGCGTCCTGTCCTACTTTCACCAAAAACCTAAAAAAAAACAAATATGGGGATGTTTACGTGATAATTTCATATAAATGTAGAGAAAACTTTTTTAAAAAGCTCTCATTATGCTTTTTTTAATCTAAATAATGGGACATTTTAATATATAATTGAAAATATGAGGTCATCTCGAGCTAAATGTTTCATAAAAGTTAGGACATGTCCATGGTTTTTCTTCAGAGGCAGAAAAAATGGTCCATGTATTTGTTAAAAAGAATGTCTGAAAAGCCTGAAAAGCTAAATGAGCAGCTCCAGACTGCTGGGGGGGGTCCCATGATGCACCTCGCCTCCTTCTGCTCTCTTTCCTCTCCCTGTGACATCACTGTTGTCATTAGCTTGTGCCTCTTACTCTCAGCAGGTATCTCTGACCTGGTGTCATGGGGCTGGATGGCCCCCATTCGGTCCAGAGAGACGGTTCTGGTTCTGATGGAGATTTCCTCCTGTTAAAAGGGAGTTTTTTCCTCCCACAGTCGCTTTGTTGTTTACGTTCAGGATGGGCTTTGAATCAGAGAAAAGTTTCTATACAATCTGTTGGTTTGGTTAGCTGGAAAACCTTTTATTCCTTTGGGTTTAGACTGATTGAATCTTCCCTCATCAATAAATAAATCTGGGTTTCAACACGTGATGTGTTTCATATGTTTGGCTGTGTATCTATACTGTTTGTATTCTATGCAAAGAGTCCCATTTTATAAATCATATCGGGGCTGTGATTCTTTGTGTGCTACTCAGTTTTTGTGCCAGTTTTTGTTTCACTCCGAACTAAATTCAGTTTAGAAACTTTGGGTTATGCAAGATTAAACAACACTGAGGCAGCCAACATCCAGAGTATGAAAAATTAAACAGGGGGGTGTTTTACTGCTTATGAATGTGTCTCTTCTTATTCATGATCAGGAATGTTATTCCTTGGAGCGTCTCGCTTAAGCTTCTCTCCACCTCAATGCATGTTGTGTCGCACAAATGCTTTAAACAGACACATGAGAAGTACCCGGCTGAACTTCTCAGTTGAGTTTTACGCTCCCACAGCTTCTACTGAAAGACTGTAAAGAACATAAAGGGGGTGAATACAGAAAAGGGAGCACATGAGGGCTGACCTCAGCCTGTAGGGTCTCTAGTCGTGTCATGTGCTGGTTTGTAGACATGCTCTTCTCCCTGAAGTCATCCCGTAATGAATGGACCTGAGTGGACAGCTGCCTCTCCACCTCTGCAGCCTGCGCGAGGACAAAAGACAAAAAATCACAGATTTTTAACTTGCTTTAACCCTATAATAGCCAAGTATTAAAGGGCAGGAAAACACTCAGATATATTTGTTTAACTCTAAGTAAAATGCAAATAATTGTTTGTTTTTTATTGAATTTCCTGAATATTTTCTATATGATTTAACTATCAACTAAAACAAGGAATTACTCACACAATTATCATTACATATGATGCAGTAGTTCCCAGAAAGCTGTTTCCGATACAATACAATGGTGTTAAGGGGTTAATCATAATGCCTTCCAGCAAGGGAACAAATTGTTTGGCTACTAAAACAAACACATAACTGCCGATATGCATTTATTTACCGGTTTTGGACTGGGGTGACCTCATTAAGTGGTGCATTACATAGCTGAATTTAACCTTAGAGTTCCAGCTAATGAGCAGAAAACAGAAGCAATGGGCTTTGTGTTTATGGAATCCAGAGCATCGGGTCACTCAGTGCGTCCCTAATTGTGAATGCGCTTATATAGCGCTTTTCTAGTCAAGCTGACTACTCAAAGCGCTTTACACTGCATGTTATTCACCATTCACACACACTGGTTTCACCAGTGGGTACACCAGATGCAACCAGTAGGCAACTTGGGGTTCAGAGTTTTGCTTCAACATGTGGTCTGGAGCAACATGGAGTTGAACCACTGACCCTCCAATCAGTGGGCAACTGCTCTTTCCTCCTGAACCACAGCTGCCCCTTTTCTTGCTGGACTGGTGGGACCAGGCCACGCAAACACTGGCAGAGCATCATCAGCACAAGGCTGCACACAGAAAACCCCAAAAAGAAAGATCTGAAAAGGAGTATCCAGAGTGAGAGCACTGATCCACCTTCCAGCATGATGATCTGAAAGGGTGCAGAGTGACTGCTTCCACCCTCTAGATGGCACCAGACTCCCCTGCGGGCCTCACAGGGAACGAATGGGCCGGCTCTGCTTTACTTTTGTTATTTGGTGGAACATTTTTTCACCTGGGGCTTGCCGAAAAAGAACAAACAACCCTGATGGCTGTTCCGGCCTCGGCCCTCTGAGGCTCCACTCTGAGCGGTAACCAACAACAAGGCACCATGGAAACAAAGCAGTCTGTGGTTCAGGTGGAGCAGTCAGACCTGAGCATCGGGGGGGTTCTTTAGGCTCCTGTAATGGTTAATACTCCAGTATCTAGAGGCTCTGCAGCCCAAATTATATTTCAACAGTAAAACAAAGTTAGTATTGTTATGGGTGCATTTTCAAGTATTCTGTTTTACTAAAAAAATCTTTTCAAATAGTAAAGAACATAATTATTTCAAGATCTCAAATTCTCTTTATTTCCTGTCTTTGCGGTTTAATGTTGTTTAATCCATTTCTGACTTCTCAGAGATACTCAGAGAGTCGGCTAAGATTTGAGGGGGAAAAACAGGAAGAACTGGGTTTGAAATCATGAAAAGCTGAAAATGGTGAAAAACTGACACAACACTAACAGAAAAAATGTATACATCTTTTAAAAGACATAAAACCACCATAATGAGTCATAAAGAGAGGCTGAATCACTGAAAATATAAAATAACCAAAAAGAAATGATCAGACGCAAAGACTGTCAGAAAGAATACACAAAACATTTACAAAAACACAGAAAACCTTCACAAAGAGACACAAAGGAGCCATGAAGGGACAGAAAAATTAACCAGAAACACACAAAATGACCTCAGAAAGATCACTAAGAGCTGGTTTTTAATGTCAGAGTGTGCATTAAAGCTCCTCGTGACGCTGAAAGCTCTCTGAGACAAAGAATAGACACAGAGTGTCCTCAGTGTGCTTTAGAGTCTGTTGCAGAGAGTTGTATTTCCAAAATAAGCCAGGAAAGAGGCAGGAAACAAAAGTTAGCTGCAGCAGATCTGAAAGAGCAGAGACAGAGGAAGACCTGCTGATCTTCAGGCAGAGAAGAACGCTTCTAGATCAGAGTTTGAGAAAGTCTCCAGAAAGACTGATGGAAGAAGGCTTAAAGGGAAGCAGAGCTGCTGAGAAGCCGTTACTGTTACATCCACCAATACCTGGAGGACTGGACCCGATGGGTTCACATCGGTATTTAACTAATACAATTTTTGTTTTAGGCCCTGTGATGGACTGGCGGACCGTCCAGGGTGTACCCCGCCTCTCGCCCACTGAATACTGGGAGAGGCTCCAGTCCCCCGTGACCCCTTTTAGGAATAAGCGGTTGTTGTGGAAATTCTATTTTAAAGCAAAAGTCTGAGGAAGTAAGAAATAGAAATGTATTAAAAGGGAAAAAGGGAAGGGGAAAACTTCATGAAGTGAGAGCAGCCAGCACGATCGTACAAGTGGTTCATATGACGCACCAAACTGCCCCAAAGTAAAAAAAATCATGGTGCATTTTAAACCCCTCTGAGTCTGAATATAAGACATAAAGTCTGTCCTTCATTCTGCACCTGTATTAAACAATCCTCCAGCCAAAACGTTAAGAGACAAAGTATAAGGAGACCCAGACCTAGAAGGAGAAATGAGTCCCATTAGAAAGAAAAAGAACCTTTAAAATATTAACTTGTGGAAAGTTACCAGGGAGAAATTAATAAAGTGATTATACATATATTGATTTCCGTAACAGCGGTCCAGAAAATGGATGGATCGCTTTTTAGATTTAAACAGCTTTTTGAAGGATTTATAAGGAAAATGTATCCATCTATCCAATAGATAGCTAGATAGATAGATAAACTAAATTTAAAAAACTCATCAGATGGGGAAAACACAGCATGTTATTGCGTTATTTCGGGCTACTGCAGAATAACCAGCCTTGAAGAGTTTAAATTGGAAAAGTACGTTATCTCCATCCTCCAGAAGGAAAACGTCACTCTGTAAATAAAACATTTCTGTTTGAGCCTGGCCTCATGTGACGTGTTGCATCTCTGTTGGCTCGAGGCTCCGATCTGTGATCGGCTGGAGGGCCAGATGTGGGCTTTAGGGCTTGGTCTGTAAGCTGGAAGCAGATGTGTCACAGCAGGTCAGGCCGCTCTGACCCACTGTCCCAGTAAACCCGCAGATTTTAGACCACTCCGGGAAACCGCTGGGCTGACCTCACACTCACAGGCCGTCACTTAATCTGCAAATGAATTCCTGACACATCCAAAACTACAGCCAGCTGTGAGGGGGGGGGGGGGGGGGATTCCAGAGTCAGGTTTGTACTTTTCTTGGTCTGATGTGCACCGAAAACGTCACTCAGAGGCTTCGAGGGTCTTCGGTGGCATCCAACTGTATCCCGGTGCTGTTCTGAGGAGCACATTCCCATGGTAACGACACACATTTGCATGTCACTCTTGTTGTCATAGCAACCAGGGATATGCAGGATTGGTGGAGCTGCGATTTGTGGTATTTTCAGGGTTTCTCTCTTAGTTTCCCGAAACTCCGAGAACCGAGTGCCGGTAACTAGCCCCCCCCCCCCCCACGACCAACCCCCCCATCCACCCTCTTCGCCCTAGACGAACAGCATTGGTAGTTCCCAGATGAACTTTTTATGTTCCTGTAATGATTAATACACCAATATGCAGAAGCTCTATAGCCCAAATGAGATTTTCAACCCTAAAATATAACTAACTGTTACAAATGGAATTTAATAACAAGAGAAACTTTCAGAAAGGAGAGAAAAAAAACTATGGAAGAATGGAAGCTGTTATCAATAGGAAGGAGATGAAGTTTAAGGGTTATAATGACTGAAAAATGAGCATTTAGCAGCTTCACTTTGTTATTTAACTCATAAATAACAAATTTTTATAGTTTTAAAAAGGTTTTTCTAATAGGAATGATACCTTTGTTCTGCTCTGTATGTCCAATAAATGAGTTAAACAGCTTTTGCTTAAAACTTGCTTACAGCCACTGTCACTTGTTACAAATGCTCTCATCTCATCTCTAATGGAGGTTTGGTTCAACGCATGGCATCTATTCTCATCCCTTTTTTTCATCAACCTCACAAAAACAATAATGATGAGTCACTGGAGGCTGCTGACAGCACTTAATCTGTAAATTGGGTAACAGTGACCGCGGCCATTAAACATGTGGACACTTGCTGCTGCGGCCGATTCGTGTCCGGCCTTCTCGGAGCATGTGAGGTAATCTCATTAAAGAAAGGTCCCTTTCCTGTGATCAGGTTAGGCCTGAGGGAACCAGCACCTCTGCGTTCAGTCACAGATAAAACAGATCAGGTTTGATGCACAAATGTATCACTCGCCACTGGAATATTCACCACAACATGTAAACCGACCCACACACACACACACAGACAAGATTATCCATGGAGGGAATTTTTGGGATATCTGTATGAGATATGAGAGATAACCTATCTCTTTTTAAAAGATCTTCTATCTCATACTGCCATCATAAATTAATTAGACTGTGGATGAGAGTTGTTTCACTCCTTGAATTGATGCACACAGCAGTGTGGTTTAGAGCTAATCCCATAGGTGTTGTGGCTGACCCCAGGCTTTACATCACTTCCTGTGAAGAGTCCTGCTTCACAGAGGTCACCCCCACACAGCCAGTCCAACACAGAATAATCCCAAAAGATATCAACAATTAATGAACTAAATATTTTTCAGCGAACAAATAAATGCCAAAAGGTACATAAATGAACACAGTTTTTCTAAATATTTTTTAATTTAGCTGTCTTTTGATTTTAATTGTTAACATATAACAATTAACAATACATTTTTATAATGAAAGAAAATACCCTAATTTAATAATAATAATAATTATGATTATTTTTATTACTTTTTTTAAAATTAATTAATTTGTTGTAATTTGGTGCTATAAAGAACAGTTTGATTGACCGCTCTGAACAACTAATGATGCTGTTGGAAAAGGTTGAAGATGTTTTGAAACATTTCAGTCCTTATTTTGGAGTTTCTGGGATGGACTACCATCAGTTTTCAGCTGTTTTGTTTGACCAAGGACAAGAAGAATTGTCTTTTCACTCAGTTTGCTTTGTTTAACTAATTTCTCTTCCTGGTTTGGAACATTTTATTTTGTTTGTCGTTTGGGCCTGGGCCCACCCTGAAGCCTTAATTCCAGGACATCTCAATCATTCTTCATAGTGGTGCACCCTTTGCACCACCCTTTGGCTCAATCCCTGCTACCAAACTGAATGTCAAAGAAGATAATGAAGGATAGTGAAATGTAAAAAGCGAAAAACTCTATTTTCGCTTTATACATATCTCATTTAAAAAAAATAAAACTAATTTATTAACCCTATCTGTGCTCTAAAAGTCCTCTGAAGAGGTTGTAGATGTTCTTGAGTTGACTTGTTCTGACTTTTGGGATACATGCCAGGGGGCCACAATAACAGAGGACCACGTGTGGTAATTCCTTTTTTATGAGCTGTGTTAGCAGGAGACGTCAGATTATAATAAGACCGCTCCACTTTAACAGTTATTAGAAACAGGAGCTGATGGAAATAGCGGGAGGCCTCTGGAGGCTTCGCTGCTGCAGGGTTTCCTCAAGGTAGCCGCTATCCGTGCGTTCAGTCAACAGATAACATGACTAAGTCACAGCCCTCTGCTTGGTAATGAGCTCAGACAGAGAGGGAGAGGAGGAGAGGAAAGACATGATGAAGAAGGGAATAACATGAAGGAAAACACGAGCACTGCGGCTGACCTGGTTTGCTGGAGCAGCCGGCAGGTTTCCCCTGCTCTGCCCAACGCACTGAATCACGAGATGCGGATCGATGCCTTCAATTAGCTCTCACAAATTTCACTTTGCTAAAAAGACCCACGAAACACGCCATCCACAACACTCCCGCTTTACAGATTCTTACAAACAGCTTTCAGTTTAATTAAATGCAGTTTAATTATGCAAAGTGCTCGCTTTTATGGCCTGCTCAGCCTTTCTCTGCAGCGTGAAGGGGCTGCCGTGCTCGGACGGGCTGATCTGAACCGGAGCGGTTCAGGGGGGAAAGTCAGATCCACGCTCCTCTCCCTCGGGAGGAGGGCACGCACGACATGGGCGTCGTCACGGGAAACGGCACTGATGGGGTTATCAAAGCATCTGCGTCTACAGCTCGGGGGCATGGTGAAATGTGGCTGTGGCACCAGGGGAGAAATGACACAGCAGCAGACTGTGCTGCAATTAACCCATGCACCGATGTTTATGGGCCAAATGAGCACCTCCCGCTCTTTCCTATTACACCAACAGTTGGAAATGAAAAGTCATGATCAGTTCTTGACCAACTGGGGGGAAAAACGCAACATGAAAATGTCAGTTTTCTTGGTGTTTTTTCTTCTTTTTATTTCCTTGGAGAAGTGATAATAAAAACTCATGTTTATTAATCCCTTAAATTTCATGCAGTTTTCTCTTAAAATGTCAAGCATGGCACAAAAGCATGTGAACTGAAGTTATTAATCAGGAATCTGTGTCAAAACTGCACATCTGCTGCATGTTTCAGAAGCCTCAGGATGGATTTGGTGTCTTTCTGGACTTCAGACTGGTTGTGGACTAACTGTTTTCCTGGACTTTAACTGGACCCTTTAAACGTAACAGGCTCATTTTAGTTGTAGTTGTATCTGTGTCTGCAGTTATGATTGCATCCTGAAATATTGTACATATCCGAATTTGAAGAGCTTTAGTTTTTAAATGGTGTACAACATGTTGGTATAAGGGAAGGAGAGCTGAGTAAAAGCCCAGATTTTTTCTGATATATGCAATGTCCTGTGGCATGACGCTGAAACATTAAGGCGTTTTCAAGTTAATGGGATGCGGTGTAATGCTGAAAGCTTTCTGAATTTAAAACAGTAGAGGCCTAAATCGAGACCACATGGGTTTACTCCAACAAACTACTTATAAGACAATCGTCCAAATAGTTGGACATTAAAGGGGGAAATAAAGCAATACAATTAACTCAGACGATGTGGGGTGCGTTTCCATTGCAATGCTGATGACACGCTGCTTTACTTATCTAATAAACCAGATAAGACCAGTCTGTTGGTTAGACTACAATCATGTTTTAAAGACATAAAGAGCTGGATGACTCAGAATTTTCTGTTGACAACATAACCATTGTCTTTGGACCTGATCAGCTTGGGGGTGGGGGGGGTCTCTCTAGTTAAATAATTACTCTCCACCGCATCTTTTTGGCTTTTAATATTGCAGAGATGTTCCCTGAAGTGATTTCAGACCAATTTCAAAGTTTCTAGGAATGTTATCTTCCATCTTTACAATATATACAAAATTATGAACATTGCATCTCATAATGATGCATAAAAAGCACTCTGTGTATTTGTTCTTTTAAGATTGGACCGGTTTTAGCTGCTCTTCATAGGCGTTTAAGTTTAGAATAGAATTAAAAAAGCTCTGAGTGAGAAGCTCCATCACAGTTGGGTGTTTCCCAGCAGAGCTTTTTGCTCCCAGACTTCAGATTTGCTTCTGGTTCCTGAGTTTTTAAAGCAGAATGAGAGGCAGAGCCTTCAGGTATCAGGTTCCTGTCTGTGGAACCAGTCTGGGTTCAGGAACCAGACCCCCCCCCTCTACCTTTAAGATCAGGCTGTAGACTTTCCTTTTTGATAAAGCTGAAAGTTAGAGATGCTCAGGTACCCTGAAACATCCCATAGATCTGCTTGGGGGCTCCCATGATGCACCTTTCTTCCCTCTGCTGCTATAGGCCCAGACTGCTGGGGGAACTCCCATGATGCACCTCTCCTGTGCGTGCACATGTGTCTTCACTGTTGTCGTTAACTTGTGTTTCTCTCTCTCAGCAGTTATCTCTGGTTCTGGTGTCCTGGTGCTGATTGGCCCCTCTTTCCTGTTCTCTCAGCCTCCAGCCAGTCCAGCAAAATGGTTCTGGTTCTCATGGAGGTTTTTTTCTTTTTGTTGAAGGGAACTTTTTCTTCCCACAATCGCCTCGTACACACTAAGGACGGGGTTTGAGCAGAGAGAAGATTCAGAGCAACTAGGAAACCTTTTTTTTAAATAGTCTCTGGACTAACTGGGCCAATTTGAGATTTAAGTAACTTGATTTAACTGGATTATATTTGTATTACAGTAAATTGGCTTCTAATTTACTGGATTTAGACAAAATCTTTTAAGTGTTTTTAGACGACCTTTGCCCCGATTTGGAGCATCTTAAAAGAAACTGAATTGGATCTAAAGTAACCTTTAAAAAGCCACATGTTGTTGAAGAGCTGTTATATCAGTCTGAGACTGCTCCGTCTGAAATAAGCACCCCGGTTTTGGTGTCAGCTGAGTGCACCCAGAAGTCGGGCTGAGCTCCTTAGAAGGGATTAATCAGTTGAGGCTACAAACGGTAGCACTCCCAGGTCCATCAATCTCCTCCTGCAGTCAGTCTCAGCTCATGCCATGTGCTGAGGCGATGAGGATATACAGTAACTTGGACTTCTACTCCCAACCCAAAGCAAAATCTGTTTATATCAATCAGCCTCTCCATCCGTCTGCCTCAGAGACTCGCATGGGGCCGTTTTGCTGGTTGTAATAACTGCACTTCAATTATATGTCAATATGCAGAGCCCCGTTGCATAATTCTGAGGTCCATCATCGTAAATTATTCAACAGAGGACCGAGAATCTCCACTTTTCTTAGTGATGGGTTCACATAATTCAGGAGAAGGCAGCCATGCTGAGCAGGAGGAAAGCTGCCCCTGGTGGGGGGTGGGTGGGGAGGAGGGGGTGAATCCTCACATGAATGAGCACCTTGTGTCTTGCCAGTCAGGCAAATTTAAAAAGGAAAAGACACAGATTGTGTCCACACACACACACACACACACACACACACACACACATACACACAGATGAAGGTAGATATGGGAGATGTGCTCCGGGGATGGGAGGAGGGGCATCTAAAGTAGCATTAAGGGTCATGTGACGCAATGACTCAAAGCCCAGACTAATTAAATCTTCCTTGCAGGATAGCCCAGGTGGCCTGGAGCTGCACTTCTTAGGCAGATGTACGAACACAACCATACTCAGCTGCTTACCCTGCTGAGCTGCTCCAGCAGCCTGTGGTTCTGTTCGGAGAGCTCGCTGATGGCCTTCGACTTGTCCCTGTCGGCCTCCCTCAGCTGGACCTGGTGCCGCTCCAGCTCGTCCGTCAGCTGCTGGACGTCGGTCTCCAACTCGGCCACGCGGCCCTCCCACTCCCCCTCCCGGCTCTCCAAGCGCCGCCGCAGCTCATGCTTCTCTTGCTCCAGGTGCTGGGCGTGCATGGAGAGAGTTAAAAGTTAAAACATGGACATAGTTTGAACACTCCTGGAAATCTGCAGCCCCCCAAACTGGTCTATTTTCCTCTAATGGATAACCTTTTGCACATTTAAAGGAGACCATTTCGAGTTTTTTCAAGCAAAGCAAAGCACAAAGTGAGGAAGGAGAACAGTATCTGATCAAATAAAACTAAAAACACCAGTTGAATCCACAGTAGTCATAAACCATAACATTCCTGACATTTTTCTCTAAAGTGGAGCTGTGCACCACTCGTGGCCCCCAAGCCTGGATGGGGGGTTGTTGTTACGATTAAGTCGAAGCCTAAACCTACTGGCATCTGTTTTCCTCTTTGGATAAAAGCCAGCACATAAAGAAGGATCAAACTGCGTCAAAACAACACCAGAAAACGGCGTCAGGCGCTGTCACACAACCCTAAGTTATTATTTAGCTTTTTCCTCCGAGGCTGGGCATGAATATGGATCAGAGGGCTGAACAGATGACACATTAGGCCCCTGGACAGCCGCAGGATAAGTCCCTGAGGCTTTTCCAAGGTGGACGGCAAGGCTTGTGTGCAGCATTTTGAAAACAACCTGAACTAAAGCTGTGCGTTTACACACTGTGCACTGTGTTATTCACCCTCTAATAACCGAAACCTGTTGGGCAGTGCCTTCAGTTTACACTGTACAACTTTATTTCCAGATGAAAAAGCTTAGATCCCAGAGGCCCATAAACTTGACAGTTACATTTGGAACACTTACCTCCAATTTCTCGTTGAGATCTTTGTGCATTTTCTCATATTGCTTGGTCAAGTCTTGGTTTCTCTCCAGCAACGCTTTGCCGAGTTTAGCAGCTAGAACCAAGTCTTTCTCCTTCTGGCGGAAGAGCAGCAGCAGGTCGGCGTTGTGCCCCGGTGCAGGCGCCTCGAGCTCGGACAGCTCGTCCTCCTCTGCCCGCTCGCCGGTGATCATGGCCAGTTCCTCCTCCAGGGCCGTGCCGAGGCCTCCGGAGCCGGCCTGGCGCGGCGGCTGACCCTGGGGCCCGCCGGGGACCGCGGCCCGCGGCTCCATGCTGTCGCTGTCCAGCTCCAGCGGTGCTGAAACCACGCCGGAGCTCTGCAGGTCCAGGCAGAACGCGGACATCTCCCCGCCCGGCGGACGACGAGCAGCCAACGGATGCGAAGCCGACTGCCTTCACAGCGGACCAATCCACCCCGCTCCGACTGGGCTGGGCTGGCCGGACCATCTATCCATTTTCCCCCTATTTTCAAATCCGGATTCGGCGGAGACCGTGAACCGCAGACTTTCCCAGTTTTTTTCTCACGTCCCCCGTTGCCTCGTTAACCTGATTGAGTCGTGGCAAATGCCACCTCCTCCTGCTGGTTTCTCACTGGCTTGCACACGGGAAAATTATCCCGGGATGAACCGCCGGGGTGAGCTGTCCGTAGCGGTCGCTCGGTCAGGGTTCGTCCCGTCTCGGGGTCCCGGGTCCCCCATAACGATGGGCTCTTCTTACACCGGCGGCACTTGGCAGCCAAACACGACGAGCGCGATCCCGATGCCTCGTCAACCTCTATTCCTTCTTGAATGCGCGTTCCCGCCACGGCAGTGACGGCAGCCGAAACGCGTCACAGGACGCGGGTTGATTGGCTGAAATCGATAGCGCCATATTTTGGTGAGTCTCACACATATCTGTGGCATCCAGTAAAAAGAGCACGTGAGGAGATGAAATAAGGGCAGACCGTGGCCTCAACTGGTGCACCAGCAAACTGTATTTTTGCTATTCACTTAAACCTAACGACAACACATCAAATAAAACATTATATAAGATCACATCAAAGCATTAAAAGGGGTATTTTATTTTCTCTGTCATTTGGAAATATTTCACACTCAACCGTTGTACAGCCAAACAAAAGTTCGATTATCGCAACGTTTTCCTGACCTGGCAGAAAACAAACATACAACCCTAATTATCGCGAAGTTTGATTACTTGGGAGCAAACTAAAGGATTTCAACCTTAATTATCGCGATGACATGATTACACAACATTTTCTTCAAAAATACAATTAAGTTTGACGTGAAAGTAAAATATAGTCAGGAAACTCAATTAAAACGTGATATTATTTTCTAGGAAAGGGTGAATTATATAGTCTGGTGCTACTCTCCGACTTATGCGACAAAGAATACGGTAAAAAATACAGACCACCATAAACTAACCGTTAAGGCTTTAAATTAGCTAATGTAACTAAGCTAAGGTTTATCATTCGATAGAATATTCACGAAGGGCATCAATATGAGTTGATTTTACTTAAAAAAAGAAAAGCCTAGCCACATCAGGTATCACATCAGGTAATTTTCACCATAAACAGCAACAACAATGTATCAAACTATATATATATATATATAGTTCCAAGGCCCAAATCCCAACCACATTAAATGCAGCAATACTGAAGGTTTCCACAATTTACTATATCAAAATAACCTGTGCCATGGTTGTTTACCTGCAAGCTGGACCTCCCACCTAGAAGAAAGGTTCATGTGAAGGGCTAAAGGGTATGGCTTAAATATGCTAAGTAAAATAAGCTCCTCACAGATATTACAGTCCGGGTGTGTGGTGGGGATGGGATTGGCAGGAGGTTGGCATATGGGGGGCTGGGTTTTGTTGATGAATGATTACAAACAAAGCCTCTTGAGCTGATAAAGTGAAGGCACAAAAGAAGTGGGTCACTGGTCCAGTGTGGCTTTGCTTTAGGGCCTGAGGGGGTCATACAGGGAATGATGGGTGATTCCCTCAAAGCACATCAAAATCTCCCTGCTTTGATAAACAGCTAAGCTGAATCAACTCAGCTGCCTGCTGTAATCCTTATTAGTGTAATGCTGCTTGTTGTTGGCAAATGTAAAGAGAAAACAACAGCGTTTTAAAAGACGCCAAAGGTCAAGACATTTCACACCTTTATTATTCAGAGTTGTCCTGTTTTAGAGAGGCTTTAGCCACTTTACAAAGATCTTAATTTACCCCCCCAAAATCCTATTTAAAACATTTCTGCTCTATGAAGGTCCATTTGTATACTGATAACTAACAGCTCTTGTAAGTATTCAGAAAACAAGAATACATTTATGAGGAATGTTGACACAGAGGGACACAATTCCTTAGATTTCCAAATAATTCTGGAAAAGGTCACCTTAAGAATCAGGGGGAAAGGATTTGGACTAAACCACAAGGAACCACAAGGCTCACAGTGGTTAATTATGGATGGTTTTGATTTCAAAGTGTCCATTTTAGAATCAGAGCTTCATTAAAAGTATCTATTATACTTTTATATCTATTGCTGACTTATTTTTCAGTGGTTTGCAGGAATTAACTTCCACCTCCTTCGGTTGTGAGACAGAAAGTGAAATTAGTTCTGGTCTGTGGCTGCTCTGATCAAACATTTAGCAGGTATGGAGAAACAGAAGGTTTCCCAATATCCTATGTAGCTTTGAGGGGTTTAAAGGACCAGAATTGTGTTTTTAATCGACTGGTTGGTTGACATAACACTTAGGGAGAGCCTTTATTTATGACTAACTAACAAAAATGCAATTGCCTGCTTTTTTTTGTAGGGCATAATTGTTGGGATTGTGAAGCTTGTAAGCCTGGAACAGACAAATATAATCAAATCTCACCACACCGGATGTAGAAGAAGCCCCCGTTACAACTTGTCGTAGACAATGGCGCCCTCTCTTGGACATAATGTTATTATATTTGTCCTAAAAAATGATGTGTCAACAGGAATACCTGGACAGGAAGGACAAAAAACAAACAAACAGGATCACATCTGATTGGTGATTTCAGGTGGATGTTTTAAACTGATCAATTCGTTAAAAATGTGTGGCTCTTTTCTTTTTTTTTTCCACTTGTGGCATTTTTGCTGATTAAATGGATCTATTGAAGACACTAGCGCCCTTTTGTTCCTTTAATCGTGGCATGCAAGAGGAAACACCACCAGCAGCATCTTCAAAATACTGAGTGATCTGTGATTATGTAACATCACAACTTAGTCATGCTGACAGACCTGACTGTCTTTTTAAAACTAATACAAGGTTTGGCTGCATGTTATGTAACTAAATCAGGCTCTATGAGTCTCTAGATTGCAGCATTTCTCTCTGATAGCCCTATGTTTATATCAGTATGATAGAACTCACAGGATGCAGACAAAAGGATGGTTCGACATAATGCCAGTGGATGGCAGTGTTTATGTACTCTTTGCAGTCCATCTGAGTGGACCTGTGTAGCTAATGGCTCTTTCTGATGAGGGACTGCTCTGTCTCATCCTTTCATTTTTCCCGTGTTCTCAGCATGTTGCTATTGCTGCTACTGTTTGGTATTTACGAGTACTTTGTGGGAAAATAATCTCACACCCAAGAACCCAAGAATATTGTTCTTTGTTCAATGCAGATCGTGACTTTAAAGGGACCCCTAACTTAGTGTCACAGTAAGATTGACATCCCCGTTGAAAAGCGCTTGTAATTTTCCATTTTCAGTTGAGAATTAAGCTGTGAACGGTCTTTGTGAGCGGTCTCACGATACCTAGTTGCTAGGTAACATCAGGATTATGCCTGTGATTCAGCCCAGTGCTTCAGATCTCACTGAACATGCTGCGTCTTCAGACCGATGTCAGTAAAACCCAACCACAGAGATCTCATGTTTAACTTTCACAGACTGACCATCGACTCGTTTGAATTTGGACAGAGCGATGTGTATGTTGCCTGTGGGGGTTTGAAAATGTGTGTGGCTGAGTCGTCAGAAACCTCAGAAAACATGCTGAATTATGTAATGATATGAGCTGAAAATAGTTTCTTTTATAATAAACCACTGCAGATGTTTTCCTGTATGACAACTAATGATCAATAAGAAAGCTTCCCCTTGTGTTTCACCCCTCTATAAATGTTCATTCTTCGATTTCTAAAAAAGACTATTTGGCATTTATTAAACTCTCTTTCAGGCAGGTGATGGGTGCCGTCACACCCATGGGTCTGTCAGCTGGACTCTGTAATTAGGGGCCTCCTTCCCGGATGTGTGTCTGTGTGGATACAGCTGTTTATTCGGGTCTCTGAATCACATCTGCTTGCCTTAATCAAAGGCATCCAAAGCAGGCGATCTCAAAAAATGTTAATTACACTTTGGATCTAATTAGCAAAGAGACAGATTCAGTCGGAGAAGTGTACAATAATAAAGAAAGATGAGAGGTTGGAGATTTTCTGTGATTCCAAGCAGGCATGCCAGTTCCAATGCAGGTTATAAAACTAAACCAGGGGTTTGATAAAAGCCTCATTAATGCCACAAAGGTACAGAAGAAGCAATAAGAACTAAACAGTACTATGCAAAAATTGTAAGCCAACCCAAATTTGATTAGAATTGAATAAAATTTAACACATTTTAAAATGAGCTTTCTGAAGGTCTTTCAAAGCTTTATTTTGAACAACGGGTCTTTTTTCATTTTCTCATTTTCAGCTGAGTTCTT